CAAGTCCCACTCTTCACTTTCGATTTGTTGCCAGCCGTCGGCGCGTGCAGGGTAACCTTCAGTCTGCGCCCTCTGCTCCTGAGCGTTGATTTAGGCTTTGTAAGGAATGCCGGGCCACATCCTCGTCCTCGCCCTCCCACTGTGCAGACTTCATACCTTGACACTTAGCATGATTTAATTGTTAAGCAGGGTTTTTATCCGACTGATACGCCAAGATTTTGATCGACCACTCTAGTCTGCCTATGTTTTTTTTCCATTTAGACAACCTGCCTCGACTTTTGTCCTTCCTTTTTGCTAAAAGACAAATGGTGCCTGTTTTGTTCGCCCTCTGTATTTGACATTATAAATGTACGGCCTAGGGCCTGCTGGAGGACGTTCCTCTGGTTTTCGTGATAGGACGGGGGGGGGGGGGCGGAATTTCAATATTTAGGCGATAGTAATGTTGGTGGAGACCTACCAACACGTCTGGTTCGGATTCAGACCACCGAGGCGGCTGAAGACTTTTGGAAAGCAACCGAAGTTATATAATGGGCGCACACCGATCTATTGGCTTCATGAAGCAAACAAGCTCCGTATGGGTTGCAAAGATCACGAACAGGCAACCAGGAGAGCAATATAGGATAAGAGGAAGAATGCAGGCATCGATGAATCGCCAGACTAAGGGTTGAGGTCTGTGGGAGGACTGTAATAAAGAAGTTTACGAACTTTAGTAAATAGGGACTCAATACGGAGGGAAAAGTAACAGGAGGACAAAGTAACGCCAAGGTACCTGAAAGAGGATACCTCGTTAGGAAAGATATCAGAGGTTTCAGGACCAGGAGAGGGCCGCAGTCGGAAAATACACAACTTATTTTCGGTTGTTCACTAAAAGACCATTTTCCTCCGACCATACTAGGACATGGCTTAGGCCATCCTTTAGAGACTGGAGGTGTGTCTGACTCCTGAGAGGGTTTCCAACAACCACATCATCAGTATACTTAGCCAAAAGACAGTCGGTTGGGAAGCTTATATCGTCAGTGTGGAGGGAGAAAAGGCGAGGGGATAAAATGGAACTTTGAAGGACTCCGTAGTCATTGGGAGGGACCAGAGATTTCCGCTTGCCAGATTGGACAAATTGAGTGCGGGAACTAAAATAATCGACGACCCAGCCTGGAGAGCCGCACACGGATGTTTTGGTTAGGAGAAGAGGGCGCGGGACGGTATTGAAGGCGGAGTAGTCAAGAAAAGCGCATGCGTACTCGCGGCAACCCTTTTCTACTTTTTTTAGAGCAGAGTGGACCACAAGAGCAACAGCGTCTAAAGTCCTGCGCGTGGCTTTATATGCAAATTGCAGAGAATCGGGAAAACTGGAAGAAAAAGGCTTTATGATATCTAGAGCGACTCATTCAGCAAGCTTCAGTAGTGCGGAAGAGCAGGCAATTGGACGAAAAGTTTTAGGTCCAAAATTAGTGGTTTTTGGGGGGATGAGAGTGATTCTCACTGTACGCCAGGCGTCAGGAATCTTGGACTCCATGAAAGGTATGTTAATAAGGTGCTCGCACCTGGTATGTCCATCATGGTCGCTTTTCATTGGCTCCTCTCGCGCGCAAGTGGGGCCTGACGGCCTCGTATGACGTTGGTAGATTGATGATGTGGTTGATCAAGTTGGTTCCTGATCTCCAAGCTCCTCAGTTTGCTTTCGGCTCTGCCGAGCACTTGGGCAGCGTCGAAGTCGAACCTGTGATTCTTTTCTAGACTGCATGGCGACGTGTGGTCGGACATCCTCTCGCTTTACGGCTAAGACATGTTCATGCATGTGCGTTCTCAAACCTTTGTTGGTCATGCCACAGTAGTTAGATAGACAGGCTAGAAATTTCACGCGGTAAATGGCGTCTAACGTATCCGCAACTGGTAGCCGGTCCTTGGACTGCATGAGAAAGCGGCGGATGGTGGCCTCCGGCCTGTGTCCAACGCCCAAGTCCGCCGGTCTTTGCATACGGTCGGTGGCTTTGGAGACGTTCTTCACGTAGGGCAAAACAGGGAAAATTTCTAGTCTTTGTTCTTGCTCACCGTCGTGTCTTTGGTACAAACATTTGTTTACAAAACTCCGCGGACATCCATTGGCAAGGAAGTGATGCCATAGGGTTTTACGCTACCGCATCTCCACGGCTTCTGTGCTACAGTGTGTGTTGATGCTGCGAAAAAGTGTCCGGATGCAACTGCGTTTATGCGACGGGATGATTGCTGTTGTAGTGAAAAAACTTTCTCTATGTTTGTCGCTTCTCGAAAGACATCAGTTTGGAGGGTTCCGTCTTCCTGCCTCGTTACCTGAACGTTGAGTAAAGGGTGCACTCCGTCTTTTTCTTCCTCCATGGCAAATTGAATTTGTGGAAAAACCGAGTTCAGTTCCCTTTTAAAGTTGTCTTTCGCGTCTCGGTGTAGGATTACAAAGATGTCCTCTACGTACCGCATCCAGAATTTTGGCTTTTAGGAGTGAAAGACTCGAGTTTCCAGTTCATGCAAGACCGCCTCACTCAGGTAGCCAGGAATTGGGGACCCCATCGGGCTCCCAGGATTTGCTCGTAAATGTGGCTGTCAAACGTGAAGTACGTGCGTAAGCAGTAGTTCCGTCGCGTACGTCCTCTTAAAGGGTTTTCCCTCTTCGTCGTACCTTCTCTGCAGTAGGTCACTGACGACTCATGACCAAGTCTAGGAATAGTGGTGCGTAGAGAGACGACGTCAAAGGATACCGTTATTTCGTAGGGAGCTGTTGTGGTAACCCCGGGTCTTTCCAGGAAGTGCATTGTAGATACGGCAGTGTGTTCGGAGCCATACGCAAGCATCTCCAAGTGCCTGGCAAGCTATTTAGCCAATACGTAGGTACGCATGCCCTTCAGCGCCATTATGACTCGTAGGGGGACATTCAGTTTGTGGATTTTCGGCAAACCGTAAGGCAGCATCTTATGGTTTCGTCTGTCTCCAATCCTTTTCGGATATTGTCTTTTGGTTCCTCATTTGGTTCAGGTTCTTATAGATTTTGTCGAACAGTGTTTTAATGGGGCCAGAATCGAGGACTTCATATGGCTGGTTGTCGCTTATAAGCTCCTGAGCCTTTGTGACGCAATCCAAAGTGTCCAGGACTATTGTTGCCGTCCTTTGTTCGCGGCAACAGTGGCAATTTCTTTCTCCCCACTGACTCAGTTTTCGATCAGTCATTAACTCACGCTGTGTCCCTCCACACACACACACACACACACACACACACACACACACACACACACACACACACACACACACACACACACACGACAGTTCGTCCGTCGATTTCGACGATGACCACCGTGTGCCCTACAGCTGCAGCAGCGGTGGGAGCAGGGACGGTGACTTACGCAGGGGTTTATAGTGCCAGTAGACTTGCGTAGCATCTACCTACACTCTCTCCTCCTCCCCCGCCTGGGCCCGGTGTCAAGACAGAGTCAAGAAGACCGGAGACGAGGGAGGCCGCAGGTGGATGGCTCGGACGGATCCTCACCTTGGCGTTCCACCACACCCCCTGGTCCACACAACAATAACCAGGATTTCAACCAACACAACAGAGATTTGGAGGCTGGCACGGCCGAAGTCGCACCTGGGCGTGCCGCCACCGCCTGGCTCGGATCCCGCACTGTGGTGGGAATGCCATAAAGGCCACATTGAAAAGGAGCCATTGCAGCCTGACTCTCAGACCGCCTCCAGTGAAGGAGGAGGTCCAAGGTATCCCGTCAGTTGGCAACCTTCCAAGCCACGGCTTTTAGCGCACCGTGATAGCTTCAAGCGCGTCAGATTGATTATAGTGAGGAGAAAGTGCGCTGAGTCGTCGACCTCACTCTCCCTTCCCATTCCCACACCCCAGCCGCTGTCCGAGCCGGTCAGCAGACTGGAGTGGGGAATGGGCGCGGTGGCTGACATGGTCGACTGACCATGCCTGCGCGCGCCACAGCACGACCTGGCACCCCATACACACACAAACACCAGGATTTCACACAACGGGGGTTGAACAGCGTGTCTCTCACTTGCGTGAGAGGGCCGTGGAAGGTGCTGCTTCAGCCCGTCCCCAGCCCACCAGTCCGCCACTACACACAACACACACACAACGTGACGAACTGCGTGAACCGAGAGCGGGCCTCAATCAGCAACCTTCCTATCCACGACACCTGACGTGTCGGGATTGTCTCGGACACAAGTCACCCGTGCAGCCGAAGCCGCATGGGGATCGAGTCGAGATGCACACTTCCCACTTGCGTGGGAGGCGGTAGTTGAGTGCATGAGGTGTGTGAGGTTTGATGTCTGGTGGGGTGATGATGTTAGGAGGTAGGGAGTGAGGGAATGTGTGTTGTGACCGGCGGTTGTCTACCGCAGGTCGTCGTGGATGCGCATGTGGCCGAATAGACCCATGCGATGCGTGAAGGTGAGAGGGCAGTGTGGGCAGTGGAGGCGAGTGCGGTGGGTGTAGGTTGGTGCTCCAGGCACTGGCTCGCCAGTCTCTGTGCGATGGATTCGCAAGTGACCGACCAGGCCGATGCGTGAGGTGAAGGTGCGTGGGCAATGTGGGCATGAGAGGTTGGCGGTGTCGGTGTCAGCTGTAGAGGAAGCAGTGGTGTTGGTGGTGGTGGTGGTGGTCGGCGCGTGTGACGGTGGAGCGAGGATGGGTCTCGGCGTGGTGGATGTGTTGGATGTTGTGGCTGCATCGGAATTGTGGTCAATTCCGTTCTCGTGGGTGCGCATGTGGCCGAATAGACCCATGCGATGCCTGAAGGTGCGAGGGCAGTGTGGGCAGTGGAGGCGAGTGCGGTGAGTGTAGGTTGGTGCTCCAGGCACTGGTTCGCCAGTCTCTGTGCGATGGATTCGCAAATGACCGACCAGGCCAATGCGTGAAGTGAAGGTGCGATCGCAGTGAGGGCAGATGTAGGCCTGGCCCTCACGTCTGATGATGGAGGTTGCAGGGCTTGTGCCTGTTGTTGTGTCAGGTGCGACTGTGGTGAAGTCATGCGCTGCAGACGCCGGGGTGGCCGTCGTTGTGGCAGTGATGAAGGAAGAGGAGGAGGAGGAAGGGGAGGAGTGAGGGGTGGTAAGGTCGGTGGCGTCGATGTCGGCTGGGGAGTGGTTAGTGGGTGCACAAGGTGGTGGATTGGGTGTGGGGCTTGGTGGGGTGGGTGTGTCAAGGCTGCGGTCAATTCCGCTCTCGTGGATGCGCATGTGGCCGAATAGACCCATGCGATGCCTGAAGGTGCGAGGGCAGTATGGGCAGTGGAGGAGGTGCGGTGGGTGTAGGTTGGTGCTCCAGGCACTGGTTCACCAGTCTCTGTGCGATGGATTCGCAAGTGACCGACCAGGCCGATGCGAGAGGTGAAGGTGCGGTCACAGTGAGGGCAGGTGTGGTCCTGATCCTCATCAGTGGTATCGGGAGAGGTGGGAGAGGTGATGTCGGTTGTTGTGTTGGGGTTGGTGATGTGTGAGACGGCAGTCTGAACGGCCGCCGCTGGGGCAGTGGAGGAGAAGGAGGGGGATGGGATTGGGGGTGCAGAAGAAGTGTCAGAGTTAGTTGGCGGCAGAGAGGGCGAGGAAGAGGCGAGCGGGGGGACGATGGCTGGAGCAGTTCGAGAGGTGCAGTTGGTTCGGAGATGTCCAACAAGTCCGATTCGTGCCCGGAATGTCCGTTGACATCGAGGACACGTAGGGAGAGGTTGTGCGGCGGCGTTGCGTATTGGGCGAAGTTGCGATTTGCGGGCTTCGCGTTTCGCTTTGGCGGCGACGATTCGGTTGGCTTCATAGATAGCAGCGCCCGCCTTCACTGTTCTCCTCCATGTCGGACGATCGCGAGCGAGCTCTTCCCAGTTGGTCGGGTTGATTTGCAGGCGCTTCAGGGAGGACTTCAGGGTATCCTTGTAACGGCGAATCTGGCCTCCTTGACAACCAGAACCCGTCGCGACGTCTCCGTAGAAGAGTCGTTTGGGTAGTCGCTCGTCGTCCATGCGCACCAGGTGGCCGCTCCAGCGCAGCTGCATTTGTTTCAGTATGGCGTAGATGCTGAGGATTCCCGTTCGTTCCAGTACTTCCGTGTCGGGGATTCGATCCTGCCAGTTCAGCCTCAGGATGCGACGGAGACAACTGAGGTGGAAGTGGTTCAGTCGGCGTGCCTGTCTCGTGTACACCGTCCAAGTCTCTGCTCCGTACAGTAGCGTCGGCAGGATGACGGCCTTGTACATCTTCAGCTTTGTGCTCAGTTGGAGACCGTGGCGATTCCAGACTGTGCTTCGGAGACGACCGAAGGCTTGACTGGCTTTTGAGATCCTGCTGGCGACTTCGTCATCAATCTTGGTGTTGTGGGAGAGAGTACTGCCGAGATACGGGAAGTTCTCCACCACTTGCAGTTGGGTTCCGTTCACGCTGATTTGCGGCGCGTTGGGGGCTGTGACTGAGTTGGGTGGCGGTTGATGCATCACCACCGTCTTCTGCGTGTTAATGACCATCCCAAAGTTCTCGCAGGCGGCGGCGAATAGGTCCATGCTGCGTTGCATCTCCGCTTCGGAGGTGGTGTTCAGGGCGCAGTCGTCGGCGAAGAGGAGTTCGTGCACGGTGGCTGTGGATACACGCGATTGGAAGTTCATGCGCCGCTGATTCAGGAGATGACCGTCCGTTCTGTAGGCGATGCGGATTCCAGGGCGTTCGTCGCGGTAGGCGTCCATCAGCATGGCAGAGAACATGAGACTGAAGAGGGTTGGTGCCAGCACGCATCCCTGCTTCACTCCGTTGGTCACTGCGAATGCCTCTGAGACAGCACCGTTGTCCGTGACTCGCGCCATCATACCGTCGTGCAGCTGACGCACCATCTGAGTGAATCGCTCCGGACAGCCGAATTTCTGCATGATCTTCCACAGTCCTTCACGATTCACCGTGTCGAAGGCTTTCGTCAGGTCCACGAAAGTAGAGTACAGGTGGGTTCGCACACGCACACACACACACACACACACACACACGCACAAACACACACCCACTCACCCACCCACACACACACTCACACACGCTAGTGTTACATAAACGTGTTCGGTCACTTTCACCTAGGTAAGGAGTTCTTGGATTCGATGATTTCTCTGAACTCTCTTCTCCGTAGAACCGGTGAGTCTTTCCACCTTTGTCACTAATGACACAAGCGAAACTGCGAATTGCAGGAAGTATTTAATAAAAAGTAGAAGCGCCCACTGGAACGAGAACTTTATCCGCCTGAAATTTCGGATTCATGCTCGAACCGATCATCAGAGACAGTAGCAGGTACGGGTAATTCAAGCGCATGAAGTTGCAGTATTTATATGATACAGTCGCTATACCACTACATGCATATGCAGGAATAGTTGTCCGGTGGTTCGTTAATGACTGGATGGCTGGTATGTAAGTCGTTAATCGCCGAAATTCCATCACCCGTGCTGGCTGTGGGTGTGATAATCGCTCGGTCACCTGGCTCACTGGTCTGCGCGCTCCCCGAGTGGCCAATTACTAGGTCCCAGCACCGAATATAGGGCGTGACTGTCACTGCACTTATTGATAGTCTCGGGTCCCGTGAATCCTAACTAAACAACTCGCGGTTCAAACGATTATCCCGATTCACCAGAATTTGGGCTTCTTCGAACTTGAATGTGTCGCCAGGTCTCATCAAATGTACCACGACTTGACAGCTGGCGTCCTTTCGTCGCATTGCTGCCGCGTGTTCGGCCACTCGCGTCCCGAGCAGACTTCCAGTTCCTCCAACGTAGTTTCTTCGTCCGCAACCGCACTAGATCCGATAAACGACCTCAGACGTTTCTTGCCGACACAGTGTGTGTTTTGGTCTCATCATCTGACGCCGTATGGTGGCCTCCGCTCTGTGTGCAACTCCAAATCCAAGTGGTGTCCGTGAAGACGCTGTCGAGACGTTATTTGAACGTTAACACCTGCTTCCGTTCGGCGATGACGAAGGTATCGTCCACATACCGAGCCCAGAATTTCGGTCTGTGGTGTCGGAAAACCAGCGACTCCAACCGTTGTTGGACCGTCTCGGCTATGAGTTCAGAAATCGACGAACCCATTGGCGTGTCCTTCACCTGCTCGTAAATTGTTCCGTCAAATGTGAAGCACCTTTTGAGCCAGAATTTCAGGAACTGAAAGACATGGGCGTATTTGCTTTGTAGGAGTAGGTAGAAGATCTCAACTGCTTCATCCTTGATGATAGAAGTAAAGAGAGACGTAACGTCATGGTATCTTTTAATGTCACACCAGGCAGTGCTATCGTGTCCCAATCTGCAGTGAAAAATTGATAACTTTTGAGGGCAGAAAGGTGTCAGCCAGTGGGTTTGGCCGTAACCTTTCTTTCCGTACTTATCGGGACCTAACTTATGTCGACGAAAAGTTCAACTTGCCCAGAATATTTTTCCGACAAGGACTGTGACGGTAGGCTATTGGCTTATCTGTGCTTGACAGCTAGTCAGTCATGCCAAACCACTTTCATGTCTCTCGATCAGTATCAGCCTCATAATGCGACCCAGGAGGCATAAAGCCGATCGGCAATCGTCGCACTAGAGTCGGCCTCTTTACAAACCTCCTCAGAATACGAGGTTCTCAGCAGGACTGGTTTCAGTGTTGGCGGTGCATTCTATGGCACGTTTTTTTGGATCGGCTACACTGCTCCCCCCAGATCGTGTTACGATGTTCGTGACTCCTCTAACAGTGCAGTCGGTCCGTCTGTGGTTGTTTATTGACCGCATATGTTGTCTGACCGATGGTGTCTGCGACCTCAATCTTGGACTCTGTCACTGAGGGGATCAGAGACAATGCTGTATCCGATCGAACTTGTTTTACCGTGGCTGGTGTGACCTGGCTTCTTGCTGCATGCAGTGATCCTTGAGAGACGCTGAAAAGTTGTACATGTTTGTCTCAGTTATGCCATAAACACACAGGTCCCACCCAAACAGTAAAATCCATCGATACTTCGTAGGTTATTTGGACATCAGGATGAGGGTTTTGAAGTGCCATGTTGACCCAGTTCCGCTGTCATGACTCGCCTGTCCCGAAGACCACGTCAAATGCATTCAACATTCTCAGACCACTTGTCGGTACAAGCGGAAGTGTGACCCTTATCTGATGCTGTATGTGGCGGCGGTATCGCAAAAACCTAGGCCGAGAGTGAGACCCTGGCCACCACGACCTGCAGGCCCGGTTCCGAATGAAAATATAAGAAGTGGGACGCCAGTGGGGAGGATAGTATATTCTGTACAGAAAAACTGGAGGAGAGATTGGAAGGGGTCGCCAGCCCGAGACAAGTGCTCCCGGCGCCGAAACAGCGGCAGTCCATGAGAGAATCAGGGAGTGTGTTTAAGTGTCTTAAGCGGGAGCACGTTTGACTCTGCTTTGAATCTAATTGGCCCTTTGGAAGGCCGGGTGTGCACGTGCAGATACTCACGAGAGGTCCAGCGTTGGGACAGACGCTCTGAGTAGGGTCAATACAGAGCAACCTAAAAGGTGTTAAAAGATTCCTAAATCTTCCGAGTAGAAATCAGTTGTCAACTTTTAAATCACCTCAGAAATTACTTGCTGACTTTAAGAAAAGAAGTCGGGTTTCAAACCGGCATTCAAATATTGATGAATACTTCACGATTGTCAGTGATTCCAACCGACTGCACATAAAAACATTCATCTCTGTCTGCAGCCGACATTTTCCGTCACAACCGGCAGAAAAACGAGCTCGTGACTCAGTAGCTAGGGCGAGAGACTTCTAACCGACAGGTCGCGAATTCGGGCCTCGGGATTTGGTATGGCTGGCTGATGACGACTAATAAGCCCGAAATGGACATTCCAGTCTCCCTTGTCTTCGTCCGTAATGTCCTCCTGCCCACAGTCCGTTGTATGGCACGACAGGCAGCTGCAGCCCCAAAAAATGAACTATCGCGAGGACACGTTTGAGAAAAAATAATTTCTCTGCGAAGGGAATAATGTGCTCTAATTAAGTAGGCCTTATATTCCACACTGAAGTCATCATAGGCAGCGGTCGTCCACGTCTGGTTTAAGCTCCTGAAGTTCTGTCTCAAGACCTACTTTACCTTCAACAGAACAATCTACGAGCAGGCGAAGGGCACGCCAATGGGTTCGCCGATTTCGGGACTCATAGCCGAGGCGGTCCTATAACGGTTGGAGTCGCTACTTTTCCGACACCACAGACCAAAATTCTGGGCACGTGTTGTGGATGGTACCTTCGTCGTCATCGATCGAGATCAGGTGCTGATATTCACATAACATCTCAACGCCATCTTCCCGGACATTCAATTTACGATGGAGGAGGAAGAAAATAACCAGCTGGCCTTCCTTGATGTCCTCGTCCGCCGCAAAGATTGTGGTGCCCTAAAAACCAAAGTGTTCAGAAAGGCGACGAATACGACGCAAATACTGAACTTCAATAGCAACCACCCGATCAGTCACCAGCGCTGTTGCGTAAGGGCGCAATACCGGCGCGTTCAGGCGCACTGCAGTGGACCAGAAAACAGGGTAGCTGAATTCCAATATGTTACCGACCCCAAATGTTGGCGTGCGATTCCGTACATCAGGAACGCCTACGAGGCCGTTAGTCGCCTTCTCGCACCACTTAGAGTTGCACAGATACCGGATGTCACCATAAGGCGTCAGGTGATGAGACCAAAAGACCCACTTCCACGACAAGAAACATTTGGAGTCTTTTTCCGGATATGGTGCAGTTGCGGACACATCAACTACGTCGGAGAAAATGGGGGGCTACTCCCGGCGCGAACTGCCGAGCACGCAGCAGCAATGAGGCGGGGAGAGGGTAGCTTTCAGGTGGCGGGCAGCTCATTCGACGGAACCCCATATTTTTAAGTTTCAAGAGGCCGAAATCGTCGCAAAGGGGGACATACGCGTGAGCCGCGAGCTGCTCGAGTCATGGTTCACAGGCCCGCAATCCATCAGCAAGCTCATTGACCTCCCGTTACCATATTCCGTGCTGAGATTTTCCCTGTGCAGGAGAATCAGTCACGTGGGGGGGGGGGAGGGGGCGACACAATTATCCCAATGACAGTGAGTCAATTTGCCGAGCAGTCGTCACACCAGCATCCAACACGCATGACGAAATCATGGCAAATAATGACTCGGACGCGGACCTACAAGCCACCATCGCATCAATTACGACTCCAGCGGTGATTATGAGAGCTGTTAATTACAGTGCGCATACATATGGTCCCATGACAACCAAGTGCTATAAATACAGCACTCCCTATGCCACCATTAACATTATCTGCGACTGGCTCTGATGATGGATTCGAGTGGGAATCCGAAACGTCAGGCCAATAAATTTCTTGTCCCAGTGATCGCATCTTCGTCTTCTGGCAGCCCTTATGACCCTACGATGCTTTTGTGTAGACAGACGCCGCACCGTCGCATCTTGTATCAGCACCTGCTTCCATTTGTACGGCAGTTAGTGACCTAACTTGTGAAAGGTGTCGATATTTAAAACTGACCGTTAATCATTCGCGCAACGACAGCAATTCGTGGACCAAACATCTATGCTAATAAATAACAACTCTCGGGGAATTGAAAGGATAATTCAGAGAATATCTCGGGGGGTCTTGGGCCAGAGCACGTCTGACTCGGCCTTGAATCTGATTGGCCAGTTGGAAAA